TCCACCTCGAAGTGGGACGCCTTTGCCGACTTCAGGTTCTCCGCCGGGCGCTGCCAGCGAGAGCCGCAATCCAGACATGTCCACCACGTTGCCTTTGAGTTTGCCCTGCATCGAAGAGCATCGCTTCGATGGTTGCACGACTCGGGCTCCTTGCAGAATTGGGCTTGGGCCTTGGATCTCGGCAGGGGCTTGCCGAGTCCCTGGTTGATGGGCTCGCCCTTGCCCTTTTTGCTGCGAACAGGAGCTGTCGAGGAGCTTGGCTGACTGTTGGTGTCCTCGTCCCGCTTCACCACATAGTCCAGAACCATCTGCTGGCGAGCTGTGGCCAGCATGAGGAAGATGGTCTGCACCAACCGCTTCCAAGTAGCCAAATTGCGCTGGGTGCTCATTCTCCTCGGCGCCTCTGGCTCGGGACACTCGTCCTCCACCATCTGGTTGATGCGATTCTGCAGCGACGCCATTGGCGCGAAAGGATGAGTGCGGACGTGAGCGGGATCTCAAAATCCAAGAACTCAAGTGTTTGAGCATGTTAGCTGTCGGCCACGTTGTTCTCGGGCGCTGGGTCGCAGACTTCTGCTTGGAACACTGGACATCATCACACAACTGAAAGAATGTGGGCTTTGACATGTGCTTGACAGGAAAGTGCAGGTCTTCCAAAAGCTGCCACTGCTGCTCTGACAAACGGAAGGAGTCTCTAATCGTATAGAAAGTCACAGTTCTCCTTGACCCCTTCCATGGAAGTGTGGCATGCAAAGTCTTGGGGGAAAACTCAAACATTCGATGCTTGATGTCCACTGCCTTTCCGGAGATCCACTGAGCGCCGACCTTTTTGATTCTGGGGCGTCCGCAATCTCGGAGATCTCCAGCAAGCCAAAGCTCACCACCAGAAAACTGGCCTATCCCAGCAATAAGGTTCTTTCCCACATTGTGAGAGTCCCTGTGAACCTTTGCCGCAAAGCCGTGTGAAACTTGAAACGACGTCCAACCTGACTCAGCGCTTTCGCAGTTGATGGGTAGGTGGCACTTTGCCCAAGCGTTCATGTACTTGCAGAAGGAGGGATTTGACTTCGAAAACTGAGTGACTCCAGCAACACCTCCATGAACAAAGGCCCCCCCCACGATGCGCAAGCAGTCTTTCTTATCGCTGTGCATGACGGACCTTGTTGTGGTACCTGACGTCGATGGGATCAAGTCGATCAGCATTTCCATGGCCTCAAACGAGAAATCCTCCCTGGACAGAAAGTGCCTGGACATAAAATCTAAGGACTCCCCCGAAGTGGTCGTTGAAGATGCCTGAGTCGACGAAGTCGACGTCCAAACTTCTGAACACCCTACGCCGTCCTTGGCCAACACTTGAGCGCATTCCAAATGCACACATTCAGGATTCCGAAGTCCCGAAGTGGTTGTTGAAGATGCCCTTTGAGTCGAGGAAGTCACCACATCTCTTGCCACGCCCCCTGGACTTAAGCTCGGAGACCAAGAAGTCGCAATTGGCAGCACCGAAGCACAAGTTGTTGTAGCAAGTGCACATTCGGAACTTCGCCCCTCAAAATCCTGTTCGGTGTTGCCAGCAAGCAAAAAGGGATCTGGTCGGTCGCCCGTGAACTTTTCCGGGAGCTTCCACGGCTCGTCGAAGCTCAGAATGTCGATCACCCGATGGCCCGAAGGAAGGCGAGCCATAGGCGCCGTGTAGCCATCTACGGTGGAGTACCGATCATTCTGGAAGTCCAAGACGGCTCCAACAGCCTCCAAGTATGAAATGGGTAGAAGAGGCGGTGTTTGAAACTGCGATGAATCATTGAGAACATTGAAACGAAGAACACCA